ATGATGCCTCAAGGTTTTGCTATGTATATCTTTGGCTAGCTAAGGATCAAGCATTAGATACATTTAAGATAAACAAAACTGAGGTAGAATTGCATAAAAACAACTTGGTTAAAACTCTTTGCACTGATAGAGAGGTGAATATTTTGATCCGATTTATTTCAATCTGTTGGTATAATTCATGAAACCACTGCTCTCTGTACACCACAAAAAATGGTGTAGCCGAGCGAAAGAATAGGACTTTAAAAGAAATGATAAATTCTATGTTACCCAACTCGAGATTGAGTGAAGGATTTTGGGGAGAGGCAAATTTAATGGCCTGTTATTTATTAAATAGAGTTCCTAATAACAGGAACAAACTTACCCCTTATGAACTTTGATATGGCAAGCCACCTAACTTGAACTATTTGAAAGTTTGGGGTTGTAGGGCTTTTCTTAGGCTCCCGAGACCTAAAAGAAAAACTTAAGATGAAAAAGGTATTGATTGCATTATCATTCGATATGCCATGAATTCCAAGGCTTATACGTTCTATTTCATTGAACCTAATGATTCCATTGGTGTTAATACCGTCATAAAGTCAAGAGATGCAATCTTTGATGAGAATACGTTCTCATAAATATGTAGACCAAAAGATATGGCTCTAGGTAATTCTCCCATGCCAAATGAAGATGCTTCTTGTAGTTACTTAGTTCCTACTAATGAATCATTGGTTCCTAGAGAAGTTAGGAAAATCAAAAGAGGTAGAATTGACAAAAACTTTGGCTCAGATTTTCAATAATACTTAGTTGAAGGTTCTAGGGATAAGATTGTATTCAAATATCAATACTTTTATAATATTGAGGCAGATCCTAGAACATATATTGAAGTTATGGCTTCAAGGGACGCGTGGCTTTCTGGAAAGAAGTAAATTAAGATGAGATGGACTCGATCTTGCACAAAAGACTTGGAAATAAACTAACTTGCCTCCTGGGTGCAAACCTTTAGGTTGCAAGTGCATCTTCAAGAAGAAGATGAAAGTAGACGGTTCCATTGATAAGTTTAAGACTAGGTTGTTTATACAACCTTTAGACAAAAAGAGGGAATTGACTACTTTGACACCTATGTCCCTGTTGCAAGAATTTAAACCATTAGGTTATTGATTGCCCCAGTGGCTATACATAACCTTGTCATTCACCAAATGGATGTGAAAACAATGTTCTTAAATGGTGCATTGGAAGAGGAGATTTACATGAAACAACCCGAAGGGTTTCTTATGCTAGGAAATGAGTATAAATTGTGTAAGTTAGAGAAGTCACTATGTGGCTTAAAGCAAGCACCTAGGCAATGGCATCAGAAGTGTGATGATCGTATCTTTTCAAACGGTTTTATTTTGAACCAAGTGGATCAGTATGTTTATAGAAAATTTGATACTTTGGATAAAGGAGTGATAATTAGTCTATATGTTGATGATATGTTGATTTTTGGCACTGACCAAAATCAATTCGATAAAACCAAAGAATTCTTATCATCAAATTTTTCCATGAAAGATCTAGGGGAGGCAGAAGTTATCCTAGAAATTAGGATAAAGCGTGTGAACAAAGTAATTCCCATTACACATTCTCATTACATTGAGAAAATATTGAAGAAATTCAATTGTGAAAACAATTCTCTGGTCAACACCCCTATGGATCCAAGCATTAAACTCTTACCTAATCAAGGCAAGGCTATGTCTCAACTTGAATACTCAAGAGCTATTGGTTGCTTAATGTGTGTCATGGTTTGCACAAGACCGGATATAGCATATGTCGCTGCAAATCTTAGTAGATTCACTAGCAATTTTGGCACACACCATTGGCAAGCTATACAGAGAATATCAAGTACTTAAGGAAAACTATGGAATAAAGTTTGGTGTACAATGGAATTCCTCCTATTCTTGAAGGATACTTGGATGCTAAGTTGAATTACTTATTTGGAATATTTCTCCTCTATTAATCGGTGGGTCTTTCTACTATGCGGAGGAGCAATCTATTGGGGCTCAAAGAAACAAACTTGCATCAAAATATCGACAATAGAATCTAAGTTTGTTGCATTATCTTTGGCTGGTAAAGAGACTGAGTGGCTAATAAGAAACTTAGTTTTTGACATTCCATTATGGCCTAAACTGATTTCACCAATTTCTATTCGATGTGATAGTGGTAATACACTTGCTAAGAATTATAGTCAAGTGTATAATGGTAAGCCTAAACACTTAGCTGTTAGACATATCATGGTACGAAACTTGATCAAACATGGTGTAATATCGGTGGAGTTTGTAAGAACTCAACACAATTTAGCCAATCATTTAACTAAAGGGTTAAGAAAAGAGCTCGTATAAAATTCAAATAAAGGGAGGGGATTAAAAACTATATGATGTCTCACATATTAAGATACCCAATTCCTACCTAATATGACGTTAGGTGCTGAAGTCAATGTGGAAAGCTTAACATCTAGAGAATGGAGCACATTAGTTTCATTCACCCAAAGATATGTGCTCAAACCTACACATTGAGGAGGTTGAAGTATATCTTCTTAATGATTCTTTTGAGAAATTGTATATGCAGATACAAGACCAAAAAGAACCACCTATATGTAGCATAAAGTTTAGCCGCTTTAAGAAACATTAGACTTGGCTATTATATGCTCGTTGAAGGATAGGGGAAAAAGGCTAGTAAAACGTAACAAAGTGTCAAGCAAGAACAAGGAGTATGCTGAACTCATGTGTATATTATCTCCATGTATTCAAGTGAATGGAAAGGGTTCAATCCTTAGTGACAACCTAGTATTCGAGTAATTGGAACATGTAATATACTAGGATAAAATTCAATCGACGCGATATTTTGTCAATGCAAGAGTTTGTTATTCTATTTTAAGACTATCTAAGTAAATGAAGGATTCACTAAAATATGGGAGGATTGTTGGTGATTTTAGTGTCATCACGCTTTTTTGGGTAATTAAATTTACTTAGTGACCGGACATTAAATAAAAATAACTATTGAAATGAGTTAGGAGGTGTGGAGTACACGCTCATTCAATTATATTATTATTTGGAACAAGATGGGTGACCTATTCAAATAGGCACTTGCCTGTTTAAATAGGTCAGCGTGAACAGTGAGGACCTATTCAAATAGGTCTTTACCTATTGCTATAGGTCAGGACCCGATTTGCTGGCATATTCTAATAAGTCTTCGCCTATTCGAATAAGTCACGAAAGAGATGCATCCGATATTTCAAAAAACAGTCTCCTATTCGTATAGGATGTATGTTATTCAAATAGGTACTGAATAGACACAACTTTTCAGTCTAAAAGACATGTCTGATCAATGTTTTGCCTATAAATAGACATTCCTATGGCCTATTTTAGGATAACGAGCACAAATAAGTTCAAGTAACTATAGTCTTCTTCTAGAAAGACCTAATACTCGTTCTCTAACGTTTACGCCTTATCCGATTAAAAGAGCCAAATCTTTGTTGCATCACGAACAAGCTTAAGATTACGTTTGCCAAGTTTTTTTCTCCGCTGTGAGTGTTAGCGATTGGAGCGAGGGCGAAGAGTTTTTTTTTCCTTTTGGGCCATTCTTTGCTTCTATGTTGTTTTTCATGCTCTCGATCTCTAGAAAAACATAAAAAATGTAGTTTTCTCATTCTTTGATCACACAGATGAGTTTTGTTAGGCACCTCATAATTTTTTGGATGAAAAAAACCTTTGCCCCGATACCATGATACAATTTGATAATAATTGATCTTATTAAATAATGAAGGTGGGCCATTCTTTCAATTACATTTTTTCTATTTTCTTAGTCAACATTTTTTTAAAGCACTCTTATGGAAGAGAAGGAAGTATTCCGTATTTCAAAATATTATGATGAGAATCTATTTGTTGCGTATATAGATCACATGCCTATTATTTCATACCCTAATATTGGACCTCCTTAAGCCAAAATTAGTTATGGTACTTTTATTTCACAAACATTTAAAAGAAAGTAAGAAAAAAACCAAAATCTATACTATATTTAAAAAGAGAGGACTTCTCCTTTGCATTTTCCCTCCTAAATGGTATCAATCACAAAAGGTAAGTGCTCAACAAACATAGGCAAGTGTTAAATGTAATAGTGGCGTGTAGAAGGTAATAAATATTTCTAAATTATAATGTATCGTGTGTAATAAATTAAAGTGCCAGTAAAAACTAATTAGCACAGAGGATAAAATGTATAATTTTTAAATATGCTTTTATAAAAAGTATACATTTTACTTATTATGGTACCGTGTGAATAAAAGTATTCTCATACTAAATATTTTTTGGTCCAAAATTTAAAAGTTTTTAAATTGAAATGATAGTGTGAAAAAAATCGAACAAAAAATATTTGTGTCTCTGTTTTTGCTTTATACATATTTTAAATAAGATAATTTTATTATAAGAAACGTAATAATAATAATATTAAAAAGGTATGTTCCTTTTACGTGATTACTGTGTATAGAAAATTGGTGTCTTTAATTGAAAAAAACATTAAAGCATTGCCTTGAAAAAAAATATTCTCATACTTTAAAGTATCAAAATTAAAGTCACAGTTGTGTTTCTATTTATACTTTTTATTTATTTTAAATAATTTGATTTTCTAATACACGGTACGATTTTGGTAAGAAAGAATCATAAATACACGTTGATAATTAAAAATATAAGTTAAAAATGAAATGCTGAAATGGTAAGAAACACAAAAAATCGATCAAATAATAATTGTGTTTTCGCTTTTACTTTTTACGTATTTTAAATACGGTTACTTCATTATAAAAAATGTAATAATAATATTAAAAAGGTATGTTCCTTTTTCTGCGATTACCGTGTAAAAAAATTTCCGTCTTTAAAAAATTGAAAACGTTGCATTGAACAAAAAAATATTCTCATACCTTAAAGTATTGAAATTAAAATTACAGTTGTGTTTCCATTTATACTTATGGGTATTATAAATAAAGTATTTTCCTTATACACGGTTTTGGTAAGAAAAAATCATAAATACACGTTGATAATAAAAATTTAAGTTAAAAAAGGAATGTTGAAATGGTAAGTAACACCAACCCTGTAATTTGACAACTATTACATTGTAATTTTAAAAATAAAAAAATTGAAAAAGGAAAATAAAACAAGCAAAAAACTTTTTCGAGTATAAATACGATCATTTGCAAAGATTTTCAAAATTAGTTTCTTTCGAGTGCGTGTTTAAATCTGTGACATTGAAAAAAAATTAATTTAGTAACGTAAATATGATTCGTGCAATGCTCGGGGGTGATACTAGTAGAAATAAAACAATAGGAAAAAATCGAAATAAAATTTTCATATTTTTGTCCCTAAAACACGACCAAAATTCATTATCAACTCATGTTTCTTTAAAGAGAAATTTACCTAAATAAGACTAAAACATAATGACTTTTTCTCAATATAGGACCATATGTTTTTATTTCCCAATGTAGGACTATTGGTCATTATCTATTAGTCATTATTCAACTAAATGTCTAGCATCACTTGGACATTATTCTTTTCACTAGTCATTATTAAGTCCTATTTAGGAAATAAAAAAGTTTAAGTACTAAATTGGGAAATGACTTATGTTTTAGTCCTATTCAGTGCAAATTTCACTTCTTTAAAATCCCCCAATTAAGGATCATTTTTTTGAGGTACATAGTTTATGGGGGTATTTGGCCGCCCGCCATATTTTTACTCCCTATTTTCTTACACTTTATGACTTTGTAATGTTTCTTGTAGTCTTTATGACTTACTGTTAATAACGTACAATTTCATCGAAGCTTCAATAGAATTTGATCAGCTGCTTTGGAATAATAGCTGTTCCAATGTCCCTAAACAACTGCGGCCACGGCTATATAAACCCCTCACCAGACATTAATTAACTTATTTACATATTAATTAGTAGGAGATCAGAGTTTTATTTATTTACCAATCAAGCACAAAAATAATGTTGTCTAAGGTGGCTACGAACGACGGGCACGCAGAGAACTCGGCATACTTTGATGGCTGGAAGGCTTTTGAGAGCGACCCTTATTGCCCCGCTAAGAATCCTCGTGGCGTCATTCAATTGGGCTTAGCTGAAAATAAGGTTCACTATCCTATTTATTACTACTGTATTTATAAGTACTCCTGTAATAACTATATATTATTGTTTGGTTTGTCCAGCTTTGTTTTGATCTGGTTCAAGAATGGGTGGTGGAAAACCCCAGTGCATCCATATGTACTCCCCAGGGGTCCCAAGATTTGATGGAGGTTGCCATCTTTCAAGACTATCATGGCCTCCCTCATTTCAGAAGAGTGCGTATAGTAGTTCTGCACAATGCATGAGACTATATATACTAATTAATTTGAATCATATCCCAAGTGAATTCTTCTGATTTAATTAATTTGTAAACACATACTGATTTTATATATATATATATATATATATATATATATATATATATATATATATATATATATATATATATATATATATATATATATATATATATATATATGATGAGTGCATGCAGGCAGTTGCAAAATTCATGGAGAGGGTGAGGGGAGACAGAGTGACATTTGACCCGGACCGGATCGTTATGAGTGGAGGTGCAACTGGAGCTCACGAAACGCTAGCGTTTTGTTTGGCTAATCCCGGCGATGCGTTTCTTGTCCCGACTCCATACTACCCCGGGTAAGCAATTAATAAAAAAAATGGACACGTTCATTTACTCTAATCTAATCATTGGAATTAAGAAATTGGCAAAGTCAAGGGGTGCCTAGAGAGTAATTAAGACCTGAGTTTGATTCTTCACAACTGCGTTGGGAGGCAACTATGCTAAGCATATGACCTCTGCAAGCACTAGATGCAGGCTCTACTATCTTTGCTACCGGTCTGTAATTAAAGTCCAATTTATATCTTGTCAGGTGACCGTCTGGTCGGTTCTGAGGGCTCTAAGGGATGGAGTTCATCCTTTTTTAAAAATTGAGAAGAAATTTAATCATTTATATATCCAAATATGGGCACTGCAGGTTTGATAGAGATTTAAAGTGGAGAACTGGAGCACAACTCTACCCTGTAATGTGCGAGAGTTCAAATGGTTTCATGCTCACCAGGGCATCCCTTGAATCAGCATATGCAAAAGCTGAAGAACAAGGAATCAGAGTGAAAGGGTTGTTGATAAACAACCCATCGAACCCACTAGGTACTTTTCTGGACCGCGACACTCTAAGAGACGTCGTTTCCTTCATCAACGACAAGAACATCCACTTGATATGCGACGAAATATACGCTGGCACGGTCTTCACCGAACCTGATGAATACGTCAGCATTCCTGAGATCATCGAGGAATACATCGGACCCATCAATCTTGATCTCATCCACATCGTCTATAGCCTATCCAAAGACCTCGGCTTTCCCGGGTTCAGGGTAGGCATCATTTATTCCTACAACGACCGAGTAGTGAACAACGCGAGAAAGATGTCGAGCTTTGGCCTGGTTTCGACACAAACACAACACCTAGTTGCATCCATGTTGTCGGACGAGGTTTTCGTTGAGAGATTGTTACGGGCGAGCTCGGAGAGGCTGAGGAGGAGACACAACGCGTTCACAAGCGGACTAGAACAAGTGGGGATTAGCACTTTGAAGAGCAATGCAGGGTTGTTCTTCCTCATGGATCTGAGAGGACTCCTCAAGGAACCAACTTTCGAAGCGGAACTTGAGATGTGGCGGGTTATAATCAAGGATGTGAAGCTGAACGTGTCGAACGGGGGCTCGTTCCATTGCTCGGAGCCGGGATGGTTCAGGGTGTGCTTCGCGAATATGGACGACGAAACCATGGCGGTGGCGCTCAAAAGGATTAGGGAGTTTGTGAACCAAATTATGATGAGAAATGGAGGCGTCAATAATTCCGAAACTTCTCCGCCGAAGAAGAAGTGCAGAGGGACGGCGGAGAGGTCACTCATAGTAAGCTTACCATTAAACGAAATTGATGATTTCATCTTGTCTTCTCCTCACTCACAAAGAAGTCAAGAATTAATGCTTTAGGCATCCATGCATGCATGCAGCAAGCTTATTGAATCATTTGTCTTTACCTACCATGCAAGTTCTAATATCATGTTATTTGGAGAAATTCCTCATATATATAACCCGTACTACCCAGGGTTTGTTTGGTAATTTGAAAAATAAGTTTTAATGAGTATTATTTGTCGTCTTGTCTTTATTCACGGATATTACATGGTCTGGGTGATGTTGTTTTTTATTTATTTTATTTAAGAAGTGGTATAATATTACTCCCACTCCGTCAGAAAATTTTTGGTATTATATTTAGTAAAATTTGTTTCTAATAGGACTAAAAGATGATAGGTTTCCCTAAATAAGACTTATTATGATTTTTTCTTTGTTTAAGACTTATTTTGTCCCGTGTAGCCATTTTTGCCCTTTAGACTTTTCTCAATTCCGTTTCTTTAGCTTCCATATTTAAAATAGGATTCTCTTTTCTCATTTAGAGGATAATTAATTATAACTTCTCCTATTTTTTAGGTGATCATTACTCTGTACGGAGTATATTGTTTCTCATATTTTCTTTTCTTGTGATTTTAAAATTATTTTTTTTACTTTTTTTAAAGAATATTTCCGTTAGTATATTATACTCCCTCCATCCCAAATTATAATACATGTTTACTATTCACAGGGTCAAACTTCATTTACTTTCTTTCTTTATTTTCGTTAACAATTTGATAAAATAAAATATTATTGTTACTACTAGTTTTGTAGATCTTTTGATGTAGTTTTTTAATATGTAATTTTTATTTTTTAATTCTATACCATTTGTCATATAAAATGGTTTGAAAATAATTTCAATCAAACATTGTAAACCGAAACAGGTGTTATAAAATGGGACGGAGGTAGTAAGAGAACTACACATTTTTTACTCTAGGCCCTTATTTTTTTTTAAATTTCTTCGTATAACCCCTTGTAAAATTTACACTAAATAGGACTAAAACATAAGTCATTTCCTAATGTACTCCCTCCGTCCTAAAATTTTCTTCCCACAGCACTATTCCACTTCACGGGAATTTATATTTATTTGTGTTTTTTCATGGCCTATATGATAAAATAAAATATTCTTATCACCACTTGTTTTGTTGAACTTTTGATGTAGTTTTTAAATATGCATGTTTTATTTTTTATTTCTATACCAATATTTAAATAAAATAGATTGAAAAAATTTAGGATTTCTTCTTCATTTTGCGCAACGGGAAGAAAGATATAGGACGGGGGGAGTAACATTTAAAATGTTTTATTTTCTAAATAGTATTTCCTCCGTTCGAGAGTATTTGTCCACTTTCATTTTTACACATCATCCAATACACTTCTTTAATCCATTTTATCTTGTAATTTGTATATTAAAAAATTATAGAAATTATATATTAATAATCTATATGTTAAGACAAATCAAACAAGATCACATATATCTATGTTTAGGCTTACACATTGAAAGAATTTGATGAGTCAAAGTGCTTAGATTAATAGTTCCAAAAGTCAAAAGTGGACAAAACTCGGGGACGGAGGAAGTACTTAATAATGTCTAGTGGGAAGAATTAAAAATATCCAGTGATGGTGGATATTTACTTGAATAATGACTAATGAATAATGACCAATGGTCCTACATTGAGAAATAAAAATATATGGTCCTATTTAGAAAAAGTCATTATGTTTAAATCTTATTTAGATAAATTCCACTTACCATTATACTCATATTCACAATGACCTTATACACTATGAAAATGGCATGTGTGAAAGTTTTACCTTTTTACTCATATTCACAATAATGACCTTATACATTATATAAATGTTCTGTGTGAATGTTTTACGATAATAATGTCTAAAGGCAATAATGTCTTAGATGATTTTAATATGTGTGTATATTGTTTAATGTCCTCATATGCATTGTTTACACATGTTCTCTATGTTTTTCCCTTAAATTTATATGCATAATGTCTTTATTTTGTGAACTTCAATAGCCATGGAATATGTTTGCCTTTGCCTAGTTGCATATTTCAACATATTGTACATCAAAACGTCTTGTGTGAATGACCTTTTATACATCAAAATGTCATATGAGCATGTTTCAAGACAATAATGTCTTAGAACAATATTGTGTGTATAGCTTAATATCTTCACATGCAATGTTTACACACGCTCTTTGTATTTTCATCTTAAAGTTCATATGCATAATGACTTTATTTTTTGAACATCATCAACGAGCAAATATATTTACTCTTGTCTAGTTGCATATTACAAAAAATTAATGCCTAAGACACTATCTTCTCATGAAATCCCAAAAATTTGCACTAAATAGGACTAAAACATAAAGACTTTCCTAATGTAGGACTTAAACTTTTTTATTCCCTAAATAGGACTTAATAATGACCTTGTGAAAGGAATAATGTCCAGTCATTACGGACATTTACTAGACATTATTAAGTACTTCCTCTGTCCCCTAGTTTTTGTCCACTTTTGACTTTTGGAACTGTTAATATAAGCACTTTGACTCATCAAATTCTTTCAATGTGTAAACCTAAATATAGTCATATGTGATTTTGTTTGATTTGTCTTAACATATAGATTATTAATATATAATTTTTATAATTTTTTAATATACAAATTACAAGATAAAATGGATTAAAGAAGTGCATTGGATGGTGTGTAAAAATGAAAGTGGACAAATACTCTGAGACGGAGGGAGTATGTAAATTTAATATAATTAATTTTATTTTAAATTAGATAAGTAATCGGATAATGTGTTTTTTACTATTTCTATGGTCATTCCCTAAATTATAGCACAACTTGATTGAGGAAAAAACGGCTGGAGGTTTTCCTCATGGGATATTTTTGTAATTTTATAGTACTATACGGTAATGCAAATAGGAGTACTCCTATTTAGGGAAAAGTGGTGTCTTTTACTCTTATAGATGTAAATTACTCTTATATTTATTATACCAAAATACAACATATTTCTTCCATGAAATCAATTTTTACAAACTTTGACCAAGAAAAATCAAACGAGAAAATCATATATATGTATGTATGTATGTATGTACGTATATATGTATGTATGTACGTATGTATATTTTTTTTTCTTATTTTAATGAAAAATATATTTATTACAATAAAATAGATATTAAAAAGGTAAAAAAGGGAGGACTAAGCCAAAGCCCATTGGTAAACCTTGAATAACTACCCAAAAGTGGCTCCTCATATATATATATATATATATATATATATATATATATATATATATATATAT